CAGTTACGTAAACTGCCTCAATGCAATCATTATCTATGGAACATATAGTGATTCTTCGAAATAACAACACGGCGTTCTGTATGAAAAACAAGATGAATCTCAAACATCGAAGTGAGTATTGGGAAACGACAAGTACTGGTCAACACAACAACATCGGGAAAATGAGTTGCTCAGGTGTGTATGCCTGAATCTCAACAACTGAATTCAGCGTCCTCTCTTTCATGAATGAACGTGATGACTGATATGTGGACTACAACGAGATTAATAAACGAATTGGATGTGTAAGGCATGATTTAATGGAGCAGTGTACAGAGAACCATAATGTATTACCAAATATATAAATAGGTATTAACTAGATAAACATCACTAAAACCCATTTGACATTATCAATTTATGGATTTCTTTCACTTTTAGTTGAAAGTACAGAATTTAAAAATTCATCGAGTATTAATGCAGCTAAAACTTTCTACAACACTTGCACGATTGCCGATTCGATGGAAAAATCGTTGATTCAGTCGAAAGTTCATGAAATGGCAGAAGAACTTTTCAACGGATGGAGGATGTCATCAGATGAGAAACAGTATAAAGATTTCTCGGAAAATGTCCTCAAACCTGAACACTTTAATCTGACCGCTTACATTTTACCACTGATATTTCAAAGTGGAAGAACAACTTTCTTTTCCATTAACTTGACTGAAGGTTATTCACAAGGAGACGATCGATTAATTCATGTAAGATTTCAAACAATACATGATTTAGTTATTTTCATGCACATTGAGTTCTATATATATAGTTTAGATACTCTGTTCAGCTTACAATGCTAGCAATTTGAATTCTGATTGAAAACCAGTAAAACGACTGAACAGGTTATCACGTACGTGAGTTAATCTTGAATAAATTTTAAGCGAGTCAGATTTTTCTGTGAGAAATTTATCATTCAGTCCATTAATGTGTTTGACAACAGTACCGTCATATACTGATAATTTCTAGTACATTGGTCCAATGATTTGTCCTAAAGTGCGAATTGGCGTACTTTCTCGCTGTTCCATGGCTCACTAAAATCTACTTATTAAGAACAAATTTTAATTCAGTCGATTGGTAGTTCCCATTACTTTATTCAGTTTGTGTTACTAAACACATTTGTAAATAAACACACTCGTAATCAACGAAATCAGTACAATTCTCTGTCACCGTTTCTTTTATCTCTAATCACATCTTCGAATTGCTTATTTTTACTGACCTGTATGAGACGGCCACATGAATATGTAGAGTTGGACGACGAAATTCGTTTGATGTTAATCGAAATCTGTGCACCTTTGTTCGATAGTGAAACACCATTTGATTTTGCCAATGACGTTATCTAATTCAGCAAATCAGACATGTTTATGTTCTTCATAATGAGCGAATAGGACTGTCATTGCATGCCACACATTGAATAAAATATGTTGTGAATGAGGGTTTGATGATTTCTGACAATAACTAGTGGTTGTTAGACTTTTTATTTTGACTCTTTCTAAAATTGAACTTAAATTTGTTCTTCCAGATTTATTCAGGATCGCTTGACGCATTTGACAAGGAGAAATTAAACATGGTACGATGAAACTAACATACGTATTCAATCATATTTATTTCAGTGATTAAGAAAATTTTATACGTTCGTTCGTTTATTGCTTACATGTTGCTAGTTGTGATATTCAAAACACGAAATAGTTTGTCAAGTTTATTTGAACAACGAGAGTAGTAAACGCCGTTAGAAGAGATTCATGAAATGATTCAACTAAGGAAATTTTGTGCACACTATTTCTCATGTTGATGTTTGAATGGATTTACACGTTGGTCAGGTCGAGCGTTATTCTCAGGCATCTTTTGATAAAATGTTCATCAACACTTCACCAAAATACAGTCTTGTCTATCTTTCGATATCTCAACCATGATTACGTGGAACATTTAAAAAGTGACGAGTAACTGATGATTTGGGAGTAAATAATAAGAAATACAGGAGGTTACATATACAGGTAAGCAGAATGAGGAAAGCCAATCTTCCGATGATACGATTTGACTATTTTGAGCGCCTAATAATTCAATATTCTTATCGGTTGTGTGGATCTTGTCGACGATTAAATACAATTACTAGTTGAGATTTGTGAATTGAACAAGAATAAACCCAGTAAACATTGTCATATGTGTATCAGAGCAGGGTTGACAAATAGGATCTATAGCTTCAATGTCAGTAAAGTTGTGTTGGTGAAACCCATAATCACTATTGAATAAAAGTCACGAACTGAACATTGCCAGTCAGGTTTGTACTCTGATTTCGAACAGGGTTGACGCCGAGTGCTATTCATGATCTTGATATCTTACCGTAATTGCGAACCTGGTTGTATTTTGATCTGTTAGTTTTCATTTCACTTCAAAGACTCCCATAAACAATATTCGTGGAATGTCCTGCAATGTCATTGATGTGTTTTCTCAATATCCTATTTGACTGAATGCTTATTTGTTGTTTATCGGAGTAGATTATTGCTATTGGTTTACGGTCAATGGATTCGGAGTACCTTGAGTAGGCAGTTAGATGTATATATAAATACATACCTTCTTTTGCTAATGGTCATAATAGTTATCCAAGTTTCAGTTTTGTGCAATGGAGCCACTTTGACATTAGTGTTGAAAATTCTATCTTTGGTCATGTGTAACACTTCTTTTGAGTTTCATGTCAACCTCAATTTCAGGAACGTTTTCCTTATCCTGCTGTATTGTGCATCACATCTGCAAAGATTTCATCTCTCCCCACCACGTTCCCGTGTACACGCTGTCGAATGCTCTCTCGTGATCAAAGATGGTCCACTGAATTCTTGTAGTATCACCTGTACAACTCTTCAACGATTGTTCGTTATCATGTTTAGTTTGACCACGACCAGGTCATGGTCTGATAATGTAACAGGTCCTTTCTTTGTTCTGACGTCTTCCATGAACATTGTTAGCCGTCTATTAACGAAAATACGTCTTATCTGGCTTTGTGTTGGTTTGAAGGTTGTGACTTTCATGGTTCGTATGTGTATTTGTAAAAGAGATCGTTACTGCGTGTAACTTAGTTTTCAATAACACATGCAGATAACAACCACTCGCCATTCCTGTTCTCTCCACAAGTCCACGTCATGATATGAAGCGTTCGTACTTGGTGTTCTCCATCATGCCCATGATGTTTATCCTGCACATATGATAAGAAACAAATTTGTGTCTTGTGCTTTCCATTTCCAACAGTCAGGTGCATGGAACCACGAGGTCGGAGAACAAATTTTCAAATATATGGAAAAAGTAGGGGCTCGTGAACAGAGGAAATTAATAATGAGTAGTATTTTGAAATTATATTCGAAAATCAATAAAGTGAGTAAATCGACAATGATTTGTCAATCTTTATTCACAGTGGTAATTTAAAATAATTTATGTTTTATAGTACTTAACAGAAGGCGAACTAAGTAGTTGTTGAGTAGAACATATATTCAGTCGGTGAAAACCATGGCATTTGGCTAGTACAATAGAGGTCTTTATCGGTTAACATCAGATTGAACTTTTGATACAAAGTTTGCAGGAACAAGTGAATACACGGACACTCAACTTCCTACTTCAAAATTACACATTTGAGTATGTTGCTTGCTGAGTATAAAACAGTATGTGATTTCGTTATCAGAGAGATAAATATGAAACCAATGAGTCATTTTCACAAACGATAATTGACCTCAGATACCACAGGGAATCAAACCAATACTGGTAGTGTCGAAAAACACGAGGCTGTCAGAAAACTCGACAATTCCGATCACGGTCGTATAACGCAGACTGCAAATTAGATCGATAAAATTACTGGGAATATTGACTACATGTCGATGGACCAGTCCAAACTGCCAAGCATTGAGCAACAGTTTTGTCTAGTTCTGAAATCAATGACAATTCATAATCATTCTATTTAAATCTCCTTGAATATCATGCATGAAATAACTGGTATTGTTTATCATGTGGACATATTGTCTTAGATACAGCAGGAAACCGTGGTTGGTGAAGCAACGCCTGTCAGTATTGAAGAACTGGAAGGAATCTGTCCAGTGGTAAGTTGAGAATGAGGTCGATTTTACAGTAATTTGCTAACAACCCTGACATGAGTAATAATGTGGGGAATTAGATGTTCTTTACCCCGATTCGCAAGTGTGTGAATACAAAGGTTATATGATATTTTCAGGTATTTGAGATAACGATGGATTGAAGGTCAGATTGGACTGGAGTTTTCGTGTATTACTATCATTGATTAAAATACTCTAATAAAAGTCACTTCATTTGCGGTAAATGTGTGGTTGTGTCCACGATTAGAACGAGGTAAAACACCATAAAAATAAGGAGAACTAAGGGTAAAACACTTCCTTCAAGTTTGGTTCATGGAAGTAGATAAAACATTCTCGTGAAAGCTTTCGAGTGTTATATATGTAGTGAATGAATACTCCGTTGGGATAACCATCCCATTGTTTAATGCAAAGTCTTACATATTTTGTGAAAATCATACAGTGAACACATCGTTTGCGAATGTTTTATCAATTGTCCTTTACATCTTTCATGTTTCTTCCATTGCTGAATTCCTTCATGATTCCCTTCCTGTTTTCTCAAGTGCAATCTTCTCAATGTTCTTTTGACAGGCATCCAACTTCTGATTGTTGTTACATACTGCTTAGGTCGACAGATAAACCCAGCATACACAACAGTATGTAGTCTACGTAAGTGACTGTGTCAGACAACATGAAAACAGTGGAATATTGTGTTAATGTGTGAAAATATTGTTGTCAAGCATAATATGCCTTGTTGAACTTGTAAATTAAATTCAAATTATTCATTTTGATCAGATCGATTGGAAGGTTTTATTTGAAAATGTATGCGTGAATGAATCGTATAACAAATCGCGAGTTGTTGTCCAACATAAAGAAGTCTTGCGGAAGATTTGCGAAACTCTCAGATCAGAAATGACATATAAATATGGGAAAAAGTAATTTTATCAAAATTGTTTTTTTACTTTTATAAACATGAGCGAAACATTATTTCATGGGCGACCATTGAACGAATCTTTAGTCACCCTGAAGTATATTAGTCAATCAGGAAACAGTTAGTGCAGAGTAAAAATACAGTATACAAAATTAAAAAAATAATAAGGATACACTGCTTGAACATGGTTCAAAAACTTGTCGAGGTTAGAAAGTAGGTCAGATGATCCAAAATCGTAATGCATATGGTATAGGAACTCATCAATATGGCTCCATAATTGTCGACTGTTGAAGCCGTTATGTGATTGTAAAACTCTGTCAGCCTCGACGGGTTGTGTAAGCTTGTCATTTTTATGACGTATGTATTTCTACAATACTCATACCACTGAACAGCAGAAGCTCCAGTAACATTTACAAATATTGCAGCTTTTGTTATACAGTTTGCAACAATTATGATGGCTTGCCTTAGTCTCAGTATGGATCGAGCAAAATAGTTCCTATTCTATCAGGCTTCTTTCGTCAACATATATTACGTCGAAAGACAACATCATCATGTTAGTCTGCACAAAGTCCATATGTCATTTGATTACCCCAATTACAAATAAAGGAAAGTCTTGCTAGTCCCATTTGTTGCAGCCGCTCAGTTGTCACGTCTTCTGTAACATCCTCTGTGAACAGATTGTACGTAAGAGTCGGGTATTCAAATTGACGCTGAGATTTTCATATTCCCTAAACGCATGTCATCGTCTCGTCCATAAATTATGATTGCACCGAAACAAGTTGCTTTCATAAATACCATGTTATCATATCCTGTCTGCATCCTGTTTTTCTCATTCATGTACACGAATTTCAAATTAATTTAGTTGAAAAAGTGTATAATGCATGAGAATCTCAGAGATTCATCTATGTTTATTATAAGAAATTCTGTTTGATGTAGGTATTCCTAACAACAGACTGATTTAATCTCATTAGTCACTTGAATCAACATTATAACCGGCTGAATTCGAGTCTCTATTTATACACCTTAGGCGTAAAACGCAACAATGACAATAATTTTCATTAGAAAATAAGATGACAGTTTGACATGTCTTTCAATACACATCAATCAATTTGTCCTCATCCAAACTTCAAATGGACTCGAGGTGTATGATTATATACAGGATCCTCTCAATTTGCTTCATAACATCCAGGGAGAATGAAGTGTGTTGAAAATGACAAAATTATCATATGAGCTGGTTCAAATCACTTTAATCACTGTATATATAGGGAGTATACAAAAGACTATTATATCAGTCGATTTCTCATCAAAAATACGGAGAAAGAAATATATGAAGAGTGTTTATTGTATTCATTCCATATCACGTCTCTCTGATAAACCTAGATGTTGAAGTTTAACGATATCGACTCTTGAGAACGACAATCACTGTTGATTTTAAATTAAATGCTATTTGTACATGAGTGGAGTACATGGTTCTTGTAATTTTTCTTGCAGTGGAATACACACTATGTTAGTGATAGATTTCTTGTACAAAATGCGATCTTACTTGAACAAATATGTCGAAGATTTTTATCCTTCAGATATTGGTAAGTACCATTGCTAGTTACATAAACATAATTATTCATGGACGTTTTCTAGGCTAATTGCTTTATCTCTAAATAAACCTGTAAAATAGATAGAAGACAAATAAACATAATTGAGTGTATTTCAGATAAATTACATTTCGTTGATTAGTGATAAACCGAACAAGATATGTGTCGACTTTATTTGAAATACAAGCCGGAAGACAAATCTGGACAACGTAATTGGGAGAACTGGTCAAGTAGCCAGTAAACTAATTTGCGGATAAATTAGCTTCATTTATCCACAGTTAATGCATAGTGAGATTTCTTAAAGTGCCAAATCTTGTACTTCAGTCAGATTGCCCATCACTGCTCGTGTTTATTTGGTTTTCCGTGTGATTTGAACGATAAAATATAATTCAACTGAAAGTCATGACGTTGTTTGTCATTTCAAACTGTATCGTTAATAGAAAATATACAAATACAGTAGACGGATTATGAACACCATGATCCATATGATCTGAGAATGAAATGGGTTGTGTTCCTTTCAATTAATTATGAATATTGATGTTGAAAGTTATCTGTTTATAACTTGAACAATGTGTAACAACATGTTGATGTATTTCAATAAACATTTCAGATGAAAAGCCACCAAGTTGCATTCAGCAATTGAAGGAGAATTTCTGGTGGACAATAAACAAGCAACACGAATATTCTAGTATAAGTAAGAGTACAAAAGATGAAGTGAGTTCCGATTTTAATAAATTCTCATTTATCTATTGTTCATAGTTGAAAATATGACAGGTATTACAATGACACGATTTACATATTGTGTTGAAGAAACTAGCGGATAATGTAAGGCGTAGTTTGAAAAAAGGAATTTTCTCTGTGAACATAAATTTGATTGAATGGTTCAACTAAGTCTGTGTTATTCTACAACTGGAACAATTATGAGATGTGCTGAATAATAAGAAAGAGTGCAAATCAATTCTCCCGTTATTTATTCAGCTCCTAAGTAGCTAACAGTCATATAATAAAATACAAATAATCTCTGATAACGTGCATCGTTTATTTTGTCACTTTGATCGTCATGTCTGTTTGTACGGAATAGGTGATTCAAATGTTTGACGAAATGAAGCGCAAATTGACTGAATTATTGTCTCAAGGATCGTGGAGCAGTGAAGATAACAAACAGAAAGCTATTTCAACGGTTTGTTTAGTTTTGATAGTGTGATTAATAACCGATTGCATTATTCAGGTTTCCAATATGAAAGTATCAATAATGGATTCAGAATCCTTGAGTGAAGAATACAAAGGCCGCGATAAAATACTCGAAGTACGTTCCTCAAGTGTAACACTAAATATTTGATTACTCCTGAACTTAATGATCAATGACTCAGCTAGATAATTGACTGACTGTTTATGATTGAGAAAATATTATTTGTTTCTATCAATCCGTTCACCATCTGACTTGTGTAATTGTTTTCAACTCATGAATAGAACAAAATCAGAATATATGTAGACAAGTATTACCATATTTCAAAGTGTTGAATTTGTCAAATTAGATGGTTTGATTGCAGTGCTTTATTTATTCGTTCTGAATGGCAACTTCAATGCTCAATCCATGGAAACGTTTTAGTGTTTCTTTCGAAGGTTCCTATTGCTAACGTCTCTATTTCACGTCCTACACCCACTTCACTTGAGACAGCCTATTACGTTCGCCTTACGTTGTCTAACGTTACCGACACGAAGCGTTTTGCTATCCAAAACGCATTGCAAACAAACTTATTTTGCAGCTCAACAGAACGACAGATAGAAGCAAAGACTACTAAACGAATAGAATGGCGTATAAATTTGACATCGCATATCCATAAAACACTATCTTGAACCAAAAATGATGTGTCAAGTTGTTTAGAAAACATTCACGGACGTTCATAAACGCTTATAAATAATAGAATAAATATTCACAAACACTTGCACATGAGTGGAGTTTATCGGAGTGATATCAATATGTGACGACAAAGCTTCATTTTCAACTGTGTTGATAAATACGTGAAGAAAAATTCAAGAAAACGTTTACACTTACATTTCAAATCTAACATTGAATGAAAACAATATTGCAACCAAAATGGTAAAGGATTTGCGCTAAAAAAGAATAACTTAAATATAAACTGGTATACGTTTCCCAACAGCTAAACATGCTCAACATCAGGATTATGAAATTGAAATGGGAATGAATGCAGATATGATACTCTTGATCGTTCGATTCTGTATCGATCATTCAGTCAATGATTGCTGTTGCGTATGTCCTTTGTTGTACTAGGTGTTTCACTGTCCTAATTCATTATTTGGTACGTCTGTAAATTGCACTTCGATTTGAGACCTTTCATAAGAAAGAAATAAGGAGAGTAGAAGAAACTTGACTTATTCTCACATATTATTCTTCAGAGGTGCCATCATTCAGAGAAATTATTTCAATGTGTCCTGGGTAACCTTAACAATTACCATTACTTCTGTAACTGAATTAAGCCAGTTGTACAACAATAGAAATGAAAGTCTTCCATCAAGCTATTCTACCTAATAAACCTCGAATCTCCGAAAATATGTAGATTAATCTTCAAAAGATTGAATTGTTTATGGTTTACACAGTTGCTTGCCTCATGTTTGTCCAGTGTATGTTATACTGTCACCAACAGAATGTAGATTATTGTGAAAATATAAAAAACACATTAACCGTTTTGAAATGGACCATTATTTAGCGTGTATCGTTTTTCACATAGTTCATATCTGATGCCAGTATTGTTTTAATTGATCTTCTAAGATAAAGTGATCCATCATATCAGTCAGTCTGTCGTCGTTATTTTATGTACCTTCCATGAAATTGCAATGAAATGACTTCTGCATTTAAAGAAATGAAAGTTGATATGTTGAAACATCTGTACGATAACGATTTCCTTCATTGAATAAATCAGTAACTTTGAAAATAATTTTAAAAAATCATTCTATTTCTGTTTCAGAATAAACTTTCTGCAGACAACTATTTTATAAATGCATACTACTCGATGAAAGCTAAATTTCAAACATCATTGAAGGCCTCTTCGCACAGATACGAATTGTGAGTTGTACTTTGATACTATGGCTTTTTAGTCACTACCCACTCTCATGTAAAAAATCTCTTTGTTCATAGAACAAACACTATTGATGACATTGTAGTTCACAACTAGTTATGTTTCAAATAGTGATTTAATGAATAGTGGTAAAATAGGTGGCATCATTCAATTTATTTGACAGTGAACATTGAAATTCTATTTCGTTTAGAATATTGTCGTACCAGCAGAAGAAAACGAAACGTGTTTGTCAGTATTTCAGTGTAATGTAGTTGCATAGCATTTAGGGACAAAACTTCAGACTGTACAATCTACTTTGATCTAATGTAATCAAATAAGGTAAATTTACAACGAATCAATAAAAGTGTAAACACATTTAATTAAGCGATTAAATATGATCACAGACGTTTATTGATATTATTAGATGGGATTCAATAAGTTGTTATTCTAAAGTAATTGACAAATTCTCGTTTCATACACCCTAATTCAATTTACCAATGTACATCTACCTTGCAAAATAAGTATGTCAACAGGATCGAAACATAAGGCACCAGTTTTTATACTATTCATCCAACATTACTTCTCCTGCACACCACATATAAGTAGATTATGAATACTGTGTTGATTTCCGGGACTTAAGTCTTTCGATACATAATCACTACTGCATGTGTAGTTTTACTGGTCCTATCCACACATCCTCAAAGCTGAACATGAGATAACTGGGAAGATAGATTTTCAACATTGAACACGATGAGAAGGCCAATAACGGTGAACGGTGGAATACTCACTCAATTTGATGGTATGGCTCAGCATTGCAGACGTGATCGTTCTATATAACTTGTCTTTATTCGCATTAAATTTATTATCCTCTCTTCAGCTCAGATGTGTTCTTCAAAAATGTCAAGTATCATATTGCTAATTGTTACGACACGATGAATCAGTATAGATAATGACTTGACTTCCACGTAAGATCTTATAGATTAGGCAGTTACATCATGACATACGTAAAATGTTAGGACTAAGTCTGTTATCATAGCAGTGCTAATAACGATCTCTGAAATATTATCATACATATTCTCTCATTTTGTGTCCTACTTTCGATGCATCTATCATCATGAGGAGAGTTGATCTGAAATAGTTGCATTCGGTTACGCAAATTGAATCCCATTTCTTGAAATAGGATATTCACTGTACAATATATCATTAATAAATAGACTTACACAAAATTGTTTATTGACAGGTTCATTCATCCACTCATTTTTCACGATTTATTAGTTCATTGATCTCTCTGAATAAATTAATGTTCGTTGTTTGCTTATCAATATTTAGACCTGGTTTCTTCACTTTCCAACCGCACATATTTGACAAAAATCTTACCGTGGTTATGACATCCGGATTATTACATCCACCGTTTCTAAATACATCACAAATAATGCCGGAAAAGTATGGAATTCTTGGTTGGCTTCTTGGTCGTCAGATTATGTCTGCAGGTAGGTTTCAAGATATCACTCCATGTCCGTGAACTACAATGGTATCACAATCAGGTATTAGGAATTGGTCACTAACAATTGAGAAATGTGCGTGTGCGTGAACTGTTTCTGTGAACCTACGAGATCTGTGTGAAGTGAGACCAATGGTGCTTATAGTAGATATTTTAGCGCAATTTCAATACTGACGGTAATGTGGTTTTTCTGAATTACTCATCCGGATGCAAACAGTAGGAATGAAGATGTGTCATCCACATGCAATCTATCAAGATTCGCAAGATAGTGGTTCAGTTAAGCTATTCAGCCGAATTCAAGCAGTATTAACAATGAACAATTGTTATTTTAACTTGTATTATGAGTTTAGACGGCATCTGATTTCTGTGCTAATTGAAACATTTTATTCCGATTATTCCTCATATTGATGGAGAACTATTCTCACATGAATGTGGCAAATAGAATCTGAGTGTAGTTATTCTGATTTGATATATAAGTGATTGTATCTGCAATATGATGGACAGTAAGATATTAGTAGTGAAATGTATTATCATCAGGTATAAATATACTATTTCAGGTCATCAAGATTTAACATGTTAAGAGGAATGGTTTTCATTGCGATGTTGTCTTGTTAGCTGTAATATATGAAATACTATTCACACTTGACATAGGAACCTTTATAGCACTCATCCTATTTACAATTCACGTTATATATACATGTATTTGGATTCTCGAAAACCCAGTGCAATAAATGGATATTTACATTACAGTTTTCAGAGATGAATACGTACAAAATCAATCAGAATATCAGTCAAAGTGTTCACCAAATGCTTCTACACCGTTAAGAACTCAACTTTGTTGTTTATCAGAACAAATCAAATCTGAAAAACTTCAGAAAGAAGTAAGAAAAATTTAAACGTACTTTTAATCCAAGAATTTTTTCGAATCTTCACACAGTTTTCGGCATTTCAATTTCGAAATGATTTTTGAGGTATCCATACTGAAAGATGACTAGTCGATATGGAAAGTGCAATTCATTCAAATAGTAATGAATATTATGGTAATAAAATACAGAGATATCAAACACTTGTCATCTGTACATAGTTTCCGAATGATAAGTTGATCAGTCTTTCAATAAAATAGAAAAATAGTTAAAAGCAGATGTGAATATTAATATCAATAACTAGCCAGAAATACCAAGTTAAAGAAAACTGTAGAATTGTATTCATCCAATATGTGAGTTCAGGTGAAATGTCAACCCAAAACCAAATTATTTGACGGTTTATCGTGTCTATTTTCTCACTGTTGCCTTTGTCGAGGTTCTTGGGATTATTGTCAATAATATTAAAAACTTCAATAAACAAAACGTCTTAGGAAATGAATTTTTCCACACAATTGAAAGTTATAAAGACCTAGTACAGTGTCGTGTTGTTACTTCAGGGAAGACAAGTACAACGACTTAATCTTATATGAGGATCCACAAAACTTGATAACTTTTGACTCGTTCAATTTGTCGAGCTAACATAGTTGAAATCACTTAACATTGTTGTGCTTAAATATTCCAACAAATGCAGTGAATCACATATATGAGCAGTTGTTAGTGTAATAGTCATCTTAAAATCAGTTGTCGCATAGTGTGCAAAGATATTCAGTATCTTCTCTGAAATATAACTAGAATGATGAACGTAATTAATTGAAACCTTCCGACATTGCCAGAACTGTCGACAACTGATCAAACTCATAAGTAGCCACGTTGTATTTTAATCTACGTACAGGCACCTAAGAATTCAACTTCTTTGAGCGTTTCTCATGCCTAATCGTTACATCTTACTTGTCAACGATACTATATAAGTTGAACTTAAAAAACGTGATGTATATGTGAAAGACGTTATATAAATTTATGTGATCTCAACTATTTTCATACTCACTAGAATTTGGAACAATTGTCAGCTGGTATAAATGGTTTTATGTTATCGTTCGAAGTAAGTGAATTTGAATAACACAGTATTCATTTTATTCCTCAATCGCTAGTATTGACAATTAACACATGCATTCTGTGTACGCTCTCTAGATTCAGAGTAAACGAACTCATTGCTTGAATTCGAATTTCATTGAATAATTTTCGAATGCAACATACAGTTGACCACGCTCGCATTTCACAATAAAGTGAGGAATAGATCGATGATCTTTCGCTAGTGTTTGATCAGCTGTCTAACACGACGAAATAATGATATATTTATGATATTCAGGAGAGCGGAACATAAGATATTTGACTATCCGAGATTTATTTTAGGTTGGTTCTCCAGTGTAGATAAGCAAAACTAGTCGATGTCGGGGACATGACTGGTTAGAGCAATTTGTAGATGGTGAAGATAGGATCTGTCATAGACGTATTGAGAGAATGACGAAGCTGTCCGATGTCGAGGAGATGCAGGCAAGGGCGGCAATCATAGGAATACTACTGGGGAGCAGGTCGTGGGTGACGCTTCATAGAGTGACTCTTGTGAACAAGATAGAATCTTGGAATGTCCTCGATACGAATAAGCATGAAACCTGATGTCAGATTCTTTGAGTGTAGAAACGTCGCAATTTATAAATACCGGGAAGGAAACTTATTTAAACGTCACCACATGCCTTTTGTTCTTCGAAAGGAGCTTGTGGTTGTTGGATTACCCGGTAGATGTTCACTGTACAAAACGATGCGAGTTAGTGGCTACTTGTCAGCCTACATATTTGATACGAACGCAGCAATACTGTTGATAGACGAAGAAAACTGTGATAGAATAAGTCGTCTAACGTTCAGCGCCGTAAAGTAAAAGCACAAGGGCGATAAAACACTCGAAAACCAGACTCAAAGAAATTTCTAGCTGCAGAAGGCACGAAAAGATTCAAATGAGTGACCGAAGTGTATAGATACTTATTAACTAAACACAGAAAGCTCTCTCGTCAACATTCGTCTACCCAATGCCTTGTTCAACAGCGGGATAATTTTCAATATATAATATTCTTTATTGTTAATTTACTCACATTTATTTCAGACATACAAGGGAAGTTTAACTGGAAAACGTGAAAGCTTGAATGAAAAGAAGTTGTTTTTCTCAGCATTTGCGAAAGTAAGTTAAACACACTGTTCTAAATTCATTTGAATAAAATCTCACTTTCCAATGATTCATGCTAAATGTGGTGAGCTGTAGTCAATATTGAGCATAGTGGTGGCACAATTACATTTCAACCATCTTATGAGTAAAAATGTTATGCACGAAAGATAGAGACATCTTTGAGTAAGCGGAGTATACCACTTGAAAAATAAAACTGTGAAAGACCGATTCAGAAATGGGCATTCGTGAACAAGGAATATTAATTGTGAAGGAGAGGTTGCGTGACGTGATAAGATGTAGTGTTGTATTTGAGATGAACTATGATCAGAAAGAGAGTGGACTGGCTTGCCAATAACTTACGATTCTAGAATTATAGGGTTGATTTTCAAGCAATCGGTGGCAACCGGTACAATTTGTTCACTCTGTTTTATTT